GGAAAAGGACTGGTTTCCTGTGCTTTCAGCCTAATCGAGGATAGGCTTTGGCACCAAACTCCAGGAGCTTTGTCTGCAGAAGCCCTTGGAAAGGTAAAAGACTGAGAGCTCTTGAGATCCTTAAGCAGGCTGGTGCTCAGGTCGGCGGCTGCGTGACTCGAGCGGAGCAGCTGGCTGTGCCCTAATCCTGGAGGTATGTAGGTCCTTCTCCTTGCTTCTTGCCGATGCCGAGCAGAGGGACGCACGCGCTCTCGCTTGCCCTCTGTCCATCCAAGCATCCTCTCAAAACAGCCAGGCCTATCTGCAGTGCTTGCTGAGAAGACACTGTTGCAAAGGTAAACCCTTAAACTTCCAATCCCTCTGGCAAGGAGTCAGTCTCTGAATGCAAAAGTTTGGTCCTGTGAGCCACTTTAAAAAAAAATAGAGACTGTATATATATATATATTTGTATTTATCTATGAAAGGGCCAGGAGACGGGGCAGGAGGGAGGGAGGGTACTGAGTTTCCATACATCACTGCAGTAACCTAGAGACACACCAGTGGGTTTTCTTGGTCCATGTACTCCAGGCATACCCCAAGAGGAAGAGCTTCGGGTCCCCAGGGGCTGCTGGTTTTCTGGTCCCTTTGCTATGCACCACGTTAGCAGCAAATACGCGAGTCCGTTGCGGCAAGAATCTTCCTGCTGGGCAGATATCGAGCCTTCTCTTTAATCGCACGTTTTGGGGAGGAGAGCAGAAGGAGGATGGGGTGGGTAGGTGGGGAGCAGAGGAAGGGAAGGGGTGGTGTCAAAAGAGTTGATAAATTTACTGGCCTCTCTGTAAATCAACCTGAAGCAGAAATTCTTCCTCTGGACTTTTCCCTTCACCTGAATAGAAAGGGAGGAGGGAGGGAATTGGGAGATTAGGACACCTCTGCAAACCTCAGGCTTTGAGCTGCTGTTGCTTAAGTGTGGAGGAAGATGACTCCAACTAGAAGGGACCGAGATCAGCCCCCCCTGCTCCCACTGTGCTGGCGGGCAGCAGCCTGCTCTCTGCAGCCAGCTCTCGCGCCAGGCCGCGGCCCTTGAGGCTCTCACCTCGCCTCTGCTTTCCCATGATGGCTGCGACCCGGGGCATCGTCCCTTCTAGCTCCGAACGCATTCTCTGCAGACCCGTTTCAGGTCACGTGTAATTGAAAACAAAACTATTGGGGTTTAAAACAGTGTTAGGAAGGTGAATGCTTTTTGGGAGCAGTCAGAAAGCAGACGGAGACCTCGCCTGGACCACAGGCAGGTAACCTGAACTCCGCTGCCTGTC